CATCACACTTTCTGTTTTCTGCTCATATCACGGTTCACTAAATTCCAGTTAAAAGTTGTTCTTTTCCCCTTTACATAGAGCCATGCTATAATTTTGAAATAAAAAATACACTCCAGACACTTAGCATTCACATTTTTCTTTAAACATTTACCTAGATGTGACGTTTGAACTTAATTCAAATTGAGCAAAAAGCAACGTTAACGAAGCATGTTAGTCCCCTCCTCTATCTTTTGAATGAATAATTCAGTGTACTGTATATATTAATGGCAACCAGAAATTTTAATGACTCTCATAGAATATCGATGAATATGTGCCCACTTAAGCTTCTGGCTAGGACTTAGATATTAAATAAAGCATGTATCTTTGGAGGATATATTTTTTTTAACCTTAATGGGCTATCCAAAATACTTTCCTCTCTTTCTTTAATACTTTCAAATGAACAGTATATGTCTTTGAGCATTATATCTGTTAAGCCAGGTTTTGGGTTGCTAAAATTTATTTGGACAAGGTAGATCTTGGGTTGTCATAATGCATTTGGTTTGCCTTCTTCATCCTGACATTCATCCTGAATTAATAAATGGTTCAACCTTGAGGCAAAAGTCTGCACCTTCTCAAAAGTCACATACAAAAATAAATTGCTCATTGTGCACAGGCAGCATTCTTACTGATATGAATCCTGTTTTATACACGGCTCTTCTATTAATTTGTATGTTATTTCCTGCTTTTATTTACTTGCATATCACAAGGTAATGGAATTTTTAATAACACTCAGAATGAGTTCATAATTTCTCAGTTTGTTGTCAAGTGTTGAAAAAAAGTTTGAAGCAAAGTACTCGATAGCATATTGTTAATCCCATAAAGCCACAGAGGGAAGATATATCCTGAGCAGGCTGTTACAGCGCTCTAATTGGAATTACTTCTTATTCCTTAACTTATATTGAAGGAGCAAATGACAGCTCCCAAGCAGTTGGAAAGTGAAACACCAGTCTTCTGAGAATACAATTTGAGCATAAAATAACAAGTTTCAAAACAAGAGTGAAGAAAACCAGGTTCTAGTCCTTCCTCAGATAGGGAAGCCATCTAGGCCAATTATTCTTTCTCAGGTTTAGACTAAGAACTTTACTTTTTTTTAAAAAAAATCTACCAACCCAAAATAAATCACTCTTGTGGGTTACAGTCCATAACTTTCAATGAAGAGATTTTCACCTTGTAGTAGGGAATTGAATGATGATGATGATGATGATGATGATGGTGATGTTGATGATGAACTGAAGAAGTTAGCAAAATACAAAGACCTACAAATAGAACTAGAACGACTGTAGCACAGACAAGCAAGGGTAGTACCAATAGTAATAGGCACCTTGGGTGCAATCCCAAAACAACTGGAGCACCACTTGAACACCATTGGCATTTCCAATTAAGTTTGGTGTTTATCTTCAGAACTTTATTTGAGGTACTGATGTAGGTAATCCTGCATTTCTGACTGTAATTGAGCCTGCAACTTTGGTTATAACTTGTGACAGTTATAAAGTGGGTCACCATGAGATGGGACCTGATTTTACTATCATTTTTTGCAGCGATCCTTAAGTGAACATGGGGATTGTTAGGTGAACCCATTGTTCATTATGGGGCAATTTTTGCCAGAAACTGACAAAATGTTGTAAATCAGTAAATCAAACCACAGGATGCTTGCTACAAATGGCTGTAAATGCAGGCCAGTTGCCAAGGACCCAAAATGCGTTATCTGTTTGTGCAGGGGGACAAATGTTGCAACTTTGAATCCAGGTCGTAAGTCCCTTTTTCAGAGTCCATAGTGTAACTTCAAACAGTCATTAAGACTACCTGTAGTCCTAGGCTGCCCGGATTTGCTTCCAAAAAGCTGTTATTTAGTTCTGCATGTATACTGCATGGTGGATAAAACAAGATATATTTTTGATTGCTATAGCCATCAGTTCCAGATGCCTGACTATGTTGGGCTGGGTGCAGTAGTGGGATTCAAACATGTGAACAACCGGTTCTCTGTGTGGATGCTGCTTCCAGAAGTCCATTCTGGGCCTGGGCAACAAAAAATTAGCTACCGGTTCTGCCAAACTGGTGCGAACTGGCTGAATCCCACCACTGGTTGGGTGACAATTTTCTAGTAATATTGACTGAATTTCATTCATATGCTGCCATCTACCCTTACATTAAGGTATTCTAAATTAAAATAACTTTCCCAAGTAGTCCTTGTTTAGCAACTGCAATTGGGACCACAGCTTGGTCATTAAACAAAGCAGGTGCTAAGTGAAACTGCGACTGTATTTATTATGGTATTACTTCAGCTTTCTTTTGCTGTACAAACTTACAAATGTCATAAATATGACAATTAGTTGCAAAGTCACTGTTTCCTTACTGTCTTAAGTGCGAATAATTGCTATACAAAGCAGTCACTAAGTGAGGACTACTTGCAGGTAAATTTTCCCACTGCTTTACTAGATAGATAGATAGATAGATAGATAGATAGATAGATAGATAGATAGATAGATAGATAGATAGATAGAAGACAGACAACTTACATTTCACAACAGACAAAAGAGTAAACTTTTCTCATAACTTCATCTAATTTGTTCCATGTTAGCCAGCTTTGGTCACATCAGGGTTGCAAGGCAGCAAGCTACCTCTGCTGTGTGACAGATCACTTTATGAGAACAAAACTTTGTTATTTTCAAGGGTTGCTGTAGCTTCTTTTAATCTGGTATCTATTACTGCCTGGCTTTCTGACCCCTTATTCCTGTGGCTACTTTTTGTTTTGGTTCTTTCTGCTTGACAGTGAATTTCTTATCTCGTATCATTGCCTCTCTCTTAATTCACTTTAGAATTCAATGCTTGGCAACTACTATTGCTGCTGTTAGTCAAGAAGCTGAATGTGAAGATATTCTACAAATATCTACTTACAGATATTTGTAGAAAGCTACTAAGGAAAGGAGGATTGCTTGATAGTGCTAATAAAGAAGACTGTGCTCAATATTAAAGGTAATTGTTGAGGTTTTTAATCAGATGATCATTCAACACAATGTCAGGTACTGTTAAAAGTATGTCAATTACTGGCAGTTTTTCAGGCTGACTTTTTCCATTTATTAATATTTCCAAATGCACTGAGAATCAAAGCAGATGGTAGCACCTAGGAGACCACCAGGAGTTATAAGGGTGGGAAGCTGAAAAAACACGCTTTTGAATAAAGCAATTATGACAACATTCATTTTGTTGCCCAGAACTATTTTGTCATCAATATTTCAACCTAAGGGAATTTTTTTTAGTATTGATAAACCAGAATATTTATCTATGAGATCTGAAACACACACACAAGAAATATTTGAGTAAACTTAGAGCCATCTTTGTTAGATAAAACTGTCCAGCTGATGTCACAGAAGATACATGATCCTTCACTTAATCAGGCCCTATACTGTGTAGGCTTAATAAATCATAACCAATACTCTGAATTGCACCCTGGAAGTTACTAATAACCAGTACAGCTTGGGTTACAGTTACATGGGCATGCTAAAGCATGCCCATCACTATCTATATCACTACATTCTGGATCAGTTGAAATTTCCAAGTGGTCTTCAAGGGCCCATATAATGCATTGCAACAGTCAGGTCATGAAATTATTGACTGTATGAGAGCCTACTAATCTAGGAAAGAATGCAACTGTGGAAGATGAAGCTATGCAAAGGCCCTCCTAACTATAGCTGCCACCTGCTCATCAAGAATGAGCTGTGAGTTTAGGAGTACTCCAGATTGTGTACCATCCCTTAAATGAGGAAGTGCAATCCCAATCCAGGCCAAAGATAGAATATTTCCATATCTAGATGCCCCAATCACCACAGCTACTCAGTCTTGGTAGGATAAGTCAGAGACAGATCCTCCCCATCCAAACCTCCATGTATAGGCCCTGGCTGGCCTCAGGTTGAAAAATATAATTGAGTATCATCAACATACTGTGGATACCAAATGCCAAACCAGCAGATGCCCTCACACACAGTTTCATGTAGATATTGAACAAAGGAGGGACATAGTTGAGCCCTGCAGCATTCCCAAAATGGAAGAGCCTAGAGTACAAACCTCTTCCTCCCAAATAAATACCGGTTGAAACCAGTCCCAGAGGAAGAAACAGAACTAACAAATGCATGCTATCCCCAAAGGTGCCCCCTATCTCCAACATCTATCCCAGAATACCATCAACTGCAGACAAACCATCTTCTGAACAGCTTTCTCTAAAAGGAAAAGGTTGGAGAAGGACTACAGGTACTTAACAGTGTTGCATCCAGGGATGATTCTTTGAGGAGGGGGCACACCATAACCTCCTTTAAGGCAGCAGTACCACCCAAAAGATTGACACCATAGCATGAACTCAAACTCAGATTACTGCCCTGGCCACTTTCACAGTCCAGAATGGTGGTTGATTCAATAAACAGATGGCCAAACTGATAACCCTGTCCACTGCCTCAGGAGTCACTGGTTCAATCTCATCCCAGACTGCACCATAAGATCTGACCCCAGGCATCTCAACTGGACTTGTCTAATCAGAGTTCAAATTACCTACACTCAGTCAACTCACTCTGAATCTTCACCCAAAATACTCCAAGCATTTCTTCTGGCACTCTAGCTCCTAAAACTCCTCAAACTCAACCTCAAGCTCTCTCTGGAAACTCTTTAGTTCTGTGGATCACCAAGGGGTGGGCTGTTGAATGGGTCCTATATCCCTCCAGAGAGGGTTGACACCAGTGAACCAAACAACAATCAACAAGAGATCTGAAGTTTTCTTTTTTCTTTCCTCCAGTATGGAGGAAAAGTTGGAATATAAACTGCAGAAAGATTTATACTGATAGTATGAACAGCTCTCTGTCAGGAAATGCTGGAGACTCTACTTGCTTAGCATCTTTTTATGTAAGTCCCCACCTAAGGCACACCTCATCTCTGTTAAAATCTAATTCACTCTGCAGCACATTTTTGTTTATTACCTGGAGCAATGAATAGCTTGATGCCCAGCAATATTAAAATAGAAATCAGTTGTATGTTTCATTTCATCTGTATGCCCAGAAACCTCAATCCAGTGTCCTATTGGGAGGCAGTAAGCTCCATCAACTAAATTGCATGGGTTATAAATGCTGGTTCGATCATGGTGGGGCCCATTACCTAAAATAAGAAGAAAATACATACACAATTCAGCAGAATCATTAAATAAATTATATTTGGAAAACAGAATTCTCCCACCCCTTGCGCGCGTGTGCACACACACACACACACACACCTGCATCATATGCATTTTTTTAAAAAGTATATCGCAGGTCATTTTTTTCCAGGTTTGCACACAACAGACCAGATTAAGATTGTTTAACTGAATGATAAAATAGCATTTCAGAATTAGTGCTTTACTGGGACCAGTTTTTGTACATAAATATTTAACATTTTTTAGAAGATACAAAACAAAATCTCTTTTAACTATATATTTTTGTTTATAAGCTAAAAATTGCATTCTGAATAACTTATTCACTATACACCTTTTAAAAAACAATACTATTATATCTTAAAATGTTTCATCGCATTTTTAATATTGTTATTTTTCTTATTCTAAATCCATTGCCAGAAGAAATAGAGCAGATAACTGGTAAATTATGCTCTGAATTAAAGTAACTTGAATTTTGGCAACTAACACTAACTCAGTCCCAGAATTTTTAACACAGTAAACAGGCATAATTTTTTCCTTGATTTTTTTTCTTATGAGCATTCACAGTGCCATCTGCTGTATGAAAAATGGTGCATGCTATGATTTGGAACAGTTTACTTTTGAAGTTATTGTTTTTAAATTCAGAAGTCTAACAAATCATATTGTATAATTTCCAAGCAGACTAGCTGAGATTCAATAAAAATATAGACTGCATTTTTGCAATGTAGCAAAAATAATTAATTATACCAGAAAGATAGATTTAATTTCAAACTCAATTAAAATAGGCTGTGCCACAATTTGTACAAAAAAGTCAGTCCTACAAACCCAAAGACACATAAAGATTAAAGAGAGTGAAATCATATTGAGATCCAATATAACCTTCACATTTTTTATGATTCCCAACGGATATCTGAGACCGTTAACAGAATATAAATTCAGATGAAACATTTATGATGTAGTAATAATCTCTTTTGCTGCAGAATACATCTATCACCCAATGTTCACTTAGGAATTAAGCCTGAGCTCATTAGGCTCTCCTTTTAAGAAACCTTTCATCATGCTTTTTCATAAATCTTTTGGAACTGTAACCTAATTTATAGTTTAGAGATTTTATCAATAGTAGTAGTAGTAGTAGTAGTAGTAGTAGTAGTAGTAGTAGTAGTAGTAGTAATAATAATAATAATAATAATAATAATAATAATAATAATAATAATAATAATAATGTTGGAAGGGACCTTGGAGGTCATCGAGTCCAACCCCCTGCTCAGGCAGGAAACCCTACACCATTTCAGACAAATGGCTGTCCAGTCTCTTCTTAAAAACTTCCAGTGTTGGAGCATTCACTGCTTCTGCAGGCAGGTTGTTCCACTGGTTAATTGTTCTAACTGTCAGGAAGTTTCTCCTTAGATCTAGGTTGCTTCTCTCCTTGATTAGTTTCCACCCGTTGCTTCTTGTCCTGCCTTCAGGCGCCATCATAGTACTAAACACTGTGATTGATCTGTTATTCTAGGGCTCTTCAGAGGCTGGTGGACAGGCTACCAATCCTACACAGATCTCCATTTTTCCTTTCCCAGATATAATGCTTTAGATATTGAATTGTATATAGGTGGACACTGGACATAGGCTCAAGTCCTGTCTCCATCATGGAACCTGATTAGGTGATTAATTAATCTGTTATTTTCTGTTAATCTGTTATTCATATAATACTGAATGCTGGCTTGTTGTGGGGGAAAAATTGAAGAGAAGGTAATATGTACCTTGTCTTGAGTTCGTGGAGAAAGGATGAGATATAAACCAAATAAAAAATAACTAAATAAATATAAATACATACATTCCAATATTAAAAATATTTATTCAATATGTATCTTGCCTTTCTACTTAAGCAATGACTCAGGGCTGCTAACAAAATTTCTAAAAATATTAGCTAAAATATCATTAAACTTAATAATAAAAAGCTGGACAAAAAGATATTTACAATTAATAGTGAGCAATGGAGCCAAGTATAAATCCTATGGTGTTCAGTCTACAGCTTAAGTTTTTGATATTGAGAGCATCTTCAGAAGAGTTTGTCTTGCAGATCACAATTGTCAGACAGGTTATCAGGATTATAAAATGCAGTCCCTCAGACTGTGAGGCCTTAAGCTATTTTAAGTTTTTAAAGGTTAATGCCAACATCTAGAATTGCACCTGTAAAGCCACTGATGACCTGTACAGATCTTTCAGTATTACCATTATGTGATCTGAATACCTATTCCTACATTTTGCACTAATTGAAGCATCTGGCTTTTTATAAGGAATAGCTTTAATTAGAGTACACTGTAATAAGAGGAATTATAACTAAGGGAATGATAAATGTAAAATCTAACAATTAATGAAGGAAAAGTTAGCTATTCTCAAACAAGAGAATGGCAATTGCTACCAAAACTAAAGTCAGTTAGAGTTGCTTCTCTGATTTAATTATTAATTCATTTACCAACTCCATAACAATTCTAAATGACAAAATTGTACACCTTGATTACTGTAAATAAATACTAAACCTGCTGTTGTTAGACACAAGCTATGAATCTAATTATTCATGGATCCAACCTATTCCTATATTTTGTTTCAGAAGACATGAAAATAAAATTTAATGTGATCAATCAATGATAAATAATTATGTATTCTGTCCCTTTAAACATATTGAACATGCACTCTTAAAAATGTACATAATAGATATTTCTTTAATTTCCACATTTTTCTCTATTTCCATTGACAAGAAATTTTTTTTGGCGTCTGACACGTTTAAGAGAAAGTAGATGGAAACTTTGATCAATTTCTGTGTGGGGGCGTTAAAAATACCCCCACAAAAATCAATCAAAGTAATAGTAGTAGTAGTAGTAGTAGTAGTAGTAGTAGTCGTAGTAGTAGTAGTAAAGTTGGAAGAGACCTTGGAGGTAATCTAGTCCAACCCCCTGCTCAGGCAGGAAACCCTATACCATTTCAGACAAATGGCTGTCCAGTCTCTTCTTAAAAACTTCCAGTGTTGGCGCATTTACTGCTTCTGGAGGCAGGCTGTTACACTGGTTAATTGATCTAACTGTCAGGAAGTTTCTCCTTAGTTCTAGGTTGCTTCTCTCTTTGGTTAGTTTCCACCCGTTGCTTCTTGTCCTGCCTTCAGGCGTTTGGAAAATAGCTTAACACGCTCTTCTTTGTGGCAGCCCCTGAGATATTGGAACACTGCTATCATGTCCCCCCCGTCCTTCTCTTCATTAAACTAGACATACCCAATTCCAGCAGCCATTAGCCTCCAGTCCCCTAATCATCTTTGTTGCTCTTCTCTGTACTCTTTCTAGAGTCTCAACATCTTTTTTACATCGTGGTGACCAAAACTGGATGCAGTATTCCAAGTGTGGACTTACCAAGGCATTGTAAAGTGGTATTAACACTTCACATGATCTTGATTCTATCCCTCTGTTAATGCAGCCTAGCACTGTGTTGGCCTTTTTGACAGCTGCAGCAGACTGCTGGCTCATATTTAAGTGATTGTCCACTAGGACTCCGAGATCCCTCTCACAGTTACTACTATTGAGCAAGGTACCCCCTATAGTATACCTGTACATACCCCCTATAGTATACCTGTACATACCCCCTATAGTATACCTGTACATACCTGTACATTTTTCTTGCCTAAATGTAGAACCTTACTTTTTTCACCATTGAATTTCATTTTGTTAGATAACGCCCAGTGTTCAAGTCTGTCCAGGTTCTCCTGTATCTTAAACCTGTCTTCTGGAGTGTTGGCTATTCCTGCCAGCTTGGTGTCATCCACAAATTTGATGAGTTTCCCATCTATCCCCTCGTCCAAATCGTTGATGAAGATGTTAAAAAGCACTGGGCCTAGAACAGAGCCCTGGGGCACCCCACTACACACTTCCCTCCATGTAGATGCAGTTCCATTGAGGATCACACGTGGGATCAAGTGATTTTTTTTTAAGGAGGTGGTGAACCAGGACCTCCTTAAAAGGCCCTGGGAATGTCCCTTCTGCAGTGAGGAATTTATCACTGCTTGAACCCACCTGCTAGTCACCATCTTGGTAATTTTCACCAACCAGATGGGACAAGGATCTTGAAGGTGGTTGCACTAACACAGTGTTTCTTAACCTTGACAATTTTAAGGCATGTGGACTGCAACTCCCAGAATTCCACACCAGCAATACTGGCTGTGGAATTCTGGGAGTTGAAGTCCACATGCCTTAAAATTGTCAAGGTTGAGAAACACTGCACTAACAGCATCAGGGTCCCTATCCATCAGGTTTGTTTATAAGAATATTGTAGTTTATCAATGTAACTGTCAGGATTGAATATGTTAGTCAAGAACCCTACTTTCTGTAAATATTTATGGTAAAAATAAATATTTTTAGTTTCAGCTATTGCAGCTATTGAACTGACTTTCTATTAAATTAATCTACAAACTAAAATCTACTTAGTGCACGGTATGTCTATAAAAATACTGTATTTCACTTATGAAAGATAAAATCCAATATCTGTGTGGATGTCTTATACAGAGAGTTATTTTTAATGCCTAAAAAGATCAAAATAAAAGTGGCAAAGCATTAGAAAGCAAAATAATGGTTTCCCTCAAAAGCTACATCACATTTGAGATTGGTTTTTAAAGTCTTCATTGTTATTCCACTAATGTTCAAAAATTCTTCTGTGTCATTTGCTTGCAGAGCAACATGTTAAAGAACAAAGGAGTCACAAAAGTCTGCCTTACAGATCAATCTTTGCAAATAGCCTAAGGATTGCTCATATAGTCACAGCTGAAGTGTAAGAAAGATGATCAAGCTGATATATCAAAAAAAAGGCCATTGGTTTTATTGCAAAGCAGATTAAAACAAGGATCTCTGAACAATGTGTAGCTCATATAGGAGAGAAAAACAGACTTGAATATATCAAGAGAGAAAGATATGATCAAAAAACTCAACCAAGG